AATTTAAAAATATTTTTCTCTATGCCAAACACACCTTAAAACTTAATCCCAAAAGTTGATATCACCTATTTAGGGCTAGGAATTAAGTGAATTTAAAATCTAAGAGCAGTATTACAGAGTATTAATTGGGTGCATGAGAATTGGCCCTTGGTGCCTCCAACCACTTGATCAAATATAAGTACATTTAATTTAATTTAATTTTTTTTTAAAAAAAAAAGCGGTTAAAATACAATGTAATTAAGTTTCTGTTTCTATAATTCTTGAAATTTTGTTACATAAATAGTTAGAAAATGAACTGCCCATATAAACGATCTGTTTGGTTTTGAAATTTCCTGCATTACTGAATGAAGGCTTCCCCTTGAAAAAAAAAAGTTGCCAATGGCTGAAAACGAAAATGACTGGGATTTAGGGGCAATTGTGAGAAGTTGCAGCAAGATGAGCAACTCTGCTCTTGTCGATCATGGTGTTCATGAGGATGGCTACTCTGCTCTTGTCGATCACACTGTTCATGAGGATGGCAACTCTGTTAACACAAGTCTTTTCCAAGAAGAAAGAAATTGTGTTGGTGATTTTAAAGACGCATTCACCATGGAAAACAAGCGTTACTTTGGGTTAGATGAAGTTATCAGTCTTTCCAGGAACCTGAATACCAATTCAAGAATTTCACCCCACAACCAAGAAAACCAAACTGAAACTATTCCAAACACCCCACTGGTGATTATAGAACATGAGGAAGAGAAGAAGAAGAAGAAGAAGAAGAAGAAGGCGAGATACTCGATGCAAAGTTCAAGTACTGAGTCAGGCAAGAAAATTGAAAGACATGAAATATTGTATGAGGAATTTGGGAAGGCGGAACAGTGGAGATGGATAATGAATAAAACGAGTACAACTGGAAAGAACTACTATTTGTGTAGTGAATTTAAAAAAAAATGTCCAGCAAAGAGACATGTTGAGCAAAGCTCAACAGATCCAACCAAGGTGATTGTAACTTACAAAGGCGAACACAATCACCCTCCTCCTGACCAACACAGGAGCCCTAATGCTGCTGCGCCACCCGAAGACCCATCTTCCTCTTCTTTTGTGCCCTAGTAATTACTCAGTCCGGATTGTTTCTAACTACACTACTGCTTCTTCATCTAATCACTGTTACGTTGAAACTGAAATAGGATCATTTTCTGCTATTTTTTTTTTTGTTCCTAGAAGCAGCAAGAACTGAACCTAATGATCAGTTAAGCAGTTATATGATACAGAGTTGCATACCGAAGAGTTATATGAAACAACAGAAAGTACAAATCTTCAATTGAGCATTTGCAATTTTTCAGTTCAGCATGTTATATACAATGAGTGATATTATAGATAGGATAATCACTACATTAGATTGTTTGGCGTGAAGTATAAGGTATAATAATCTCAAGATAAAATGTAGATAGTCATGGGATTATTTATTCCATCATTTATATTATAGGGATGGATAAGCTATTCCTAACTTATCTCGGAATAACTTATACTCCCAACCAAACGACCCCTAAGTATTGAGATAAAGAATCAATAATGAAATTGGACCAATTCTCTTTAACGATTTTAGATGTTGAAACTTATAAACACTTATTGATTTTAATTAAAAGATTCGAAATAGAACTTTTCTTCTTTTTTGCACGTAATGTAGATCTGAATGATTCAGATATGAGATGATTTGTTTTATGCTCCACTTCTGTCAATAATAAATCAAAAGAAAAGATATATACAGCCTGATTTGCAGATGAATCCAGCATTATAGCAAATAAAGCATCCAAGCAAGCTCCTTGTCCCAGTACCCCTCAAGTCGACAGTATGTTCATCAACACCTGCTTATTTACAACCAAGTTAAACATGTCATCATTTTGAAGTGCTAATTTTCATCAAAGCATAAATTTCGAGGGCCTATAGTATCTCGAAAGATAAATTATCAACAACAAAAAAAAAAAAACTAAACTAAGCCTTTATTCTAACTAGAAAAGGATTGAAATTATTCTCTTTTTTTTTGTTTCCAATCTTATTAAAAAAAGATTGAAATTATAATCCTATTTGGAGTTGGTTTTGACTTTAGCACCGCTCTATAAATAGGATAATTTGAGAGAATTATTCAATTGCTCATTAGTATTGTCTTTGAAAGAGATTTTTTTGAGAGAGCAAGAGAGAAGAAAAAGGCTCTTTTGCTGCCTGTCTTTTTCTTCTTCCGGCCACCTTTAGATCGTGTTTCTCGATTAACTAACCATTGGGTCGAGCTGAACAAACCTTCCTCTAGAAAAAAGTTGTCAATGGCTGAAAATGAAAATGACGGGGGTATATGGGCAGTTGTGAGAAGTTGCAGCAAGATGAACAACTCTGCTCATGTCGATCATAGTGTTCATGAGGATCCTACTCATATCAACTCTGCTCTTGTCGATCACAGTAGTGTTAATGAGGATGGCAACTCTGTTAACAACACACAAGACACAACTCTTTTTTCAAAAGAAAGCAATAGTGTTGGTGATTTTAGAGACACATTCGCCATGGAAAACAAGCATTACTTTGGGTTAGATGAAGTTATCAGTCTTGCCAATAACCTGAATACCAATAATTCAACAATTGAACCCCACAACCAAGAAAACCAAACTGAAACTTTTCCAAACACCCGACTAGAGATTGTAGAACACGAGGAGGAGAACAACGCGTTTATTTACCGCGGGAAGAGAACTGAAAGATATGAAATATTGGCTGAGGAATTGGGGAAGGCGGATCAATGGAGATGGAGAAAGAATACTACGAGTCCAACTGGAAAGACCTACTATTCATGTAGTGAAGTTAAAAAAAAATGTCCAGCAAAGAGACATGTTGAGCAAAGCTCAAAAGATTCAACAAAGGTGATCGTATCTTACAGAGGCCAACACAATCACCCTCCTCCTAACCAACATTCCAATGATACACAGGAGACCTAATGCTGCTGCGCATTAGGTAGAAGAGGGAAAATATTTTCCCTCTTCTACCTCAACGCTGTAATTAGGAACCGAATTCTAATTTGGATTGGTTTTAGAATTTAGAATTAAGTTGAAGTTAACTATTTTTGTCCTTTTTAGTTATTATTTTTCATTGTGATTTTGTTTATTTTTAATGTTTGGACATCTATAATTGATATACTATTAAGTATTGTGTTTTACGTTTTACTTGTGATTTATATTCAAAAGTATATTTAAGAGATTCAATCTCGTTCCTTCTCCTTATATATATATATAAAAAAACTTTAATAATGTTTCTAATTATTGATACAACTAAATATGTGAACTGAAAAGAAATCAAACCGAAAAGAGAAAAACTAAACCAAACCAAATTTATTTTGATTCGGATTAGGTTACACTTCTTCAAAATCAAAAATCAAAAAATTCAAACCGAATAATACAAAACCAAATGTACACCCTTATTTGTAATTCAAGCTAGTTGAAATTCTTTTGTGCCGTAGTAAGTCATATGGTATCTAACCAGGGGCAGAGCTACCTTAGTGTGTTTTTATTTAAGGTTGGATAGTTAAAGTGCCTCATTGTGCACTTTGAAAGTTTAAGATCAAAGTTAAAATTTGAAGTCAAGTTAAGAGACATGTTTATGTGTTATGCCTTTTACAATATTTCTCCATTATAATTCTTTCAAGATTTAAAATCAATTGATTGAATATATGATAATATTTTAAATAACTTATTAAAAGGTGCATAAAAATGGAAACATTCTTTAAAATAAATTCATCTAGCACTAAGAATTCATGGTAGTTTCGTGAACGCTAAATAATTCAAATAAAAACTCATAAAATGATGATAATTTAATATATATTTTCAATTTACTCACTCAATTTCTTTCTACATGTATTGTCACTTCGACCACACATATCTTTCAATAGATATCATCTTATAATCTTAGCATAATTTATTTTTTTCAAATTGGTTCAAATTCTTAATTAGTATATTACTAATCAATATTTAAAATAAAACTTATCACGTTATTAAATCTTACCAAAGAAATATATATTTGCCTAAACGATTATAGAAGCTTAATTAGATAAAGAAAAACGATTTTTGAAGAAAAAAGAAAAAGAAACAATGACTTCATGACAAATAACCCAAAATTAAATGACTAGATGATCAATCAACACCTCTGAAATTTCGATGCTGCCACAAAGTCTTGGTGATATCTTATGTAAGCTGAACAAATTACTATTTCCATCAATTCAAAGACTAAATATCAATCCAATGATACTAGATTAAAATAATTTAAATATGTTTCACTAGCATATATTATGAAATAATATGTAACAACTTTCGAAACAAAGTCTAACATTTTAAATGCCTAATATATTTCATAACATTAGAGATGCAATGTATAAGAAAATTTTCCAAGTTTTTTCTCCAAATATTTTTAGCAATATCTATGGCCAAACATGTCCCTAAAGTAACATAGTGACATGATTAAAGGTGTGTTTGATAGGAAAGAAAATGTTTTCCATAACTTTTTTCTAGGAAAATAAGTAAATTTCTTACTTATTTTCTTGTGTTCAATACGTGAGCAAAAAAATATTATTTTAAATATATTTGTATATAATCTAAGATAAATACTATGTAATATAGGGTGACATAAGTTAAGAGTAAAAATGAGGTATGTTAAAATGTAAAAACAACACAATTAATGTGGAATATCTCATGTAAAATTTATTTTACCTACTTCAACGTTGAAACTTGAAAGTCGTTTTACTCCCTCTTTTTTTTTTAAGAAACTTAAATTTCTAGAATAATATTTTTCAAAATATACATATAATTTCATTTCTTTTCTTTTTTTTAAAAAAAAGGGGTTATTAAACAATGTGATTAAGTATCTGTTTCTATAATTCTTGAAATTTCGTTATAAATAGTTAAAAAATGAACTGCCCATAACCGAACTGTTTGGGTTTGAAGTTTCCTGCATTACTGAATGAAGCCTTCCCCTTGAAAAAAAAGTTAGCAATGGCTGAAAACGAAAATGACTGGGATTTATGGGCAATTGTGAGAAGTTGCAGCAAGATGAACAACTCTGTTAGTGCTCTTGTCGATCACGGTGTTCATGAGGATGGCAACTCTGCTCTTGTTGATCACAGTGTTCATGGGGATGGCAACTCTGTTAACACAATTCTTTTCCAAGAAGAAAGTAATAGTGTTGGTGATTTTAGAGACGCATTCGCCATGGAAAACAAGCGTTACTTTGGGTTAGATGAAGTTATCAGTCTTTCCAAGAACCTGAATACCACCAAGAAAATCAAACTGAAACTATTCCAAACACACCACTGATGGTTGTAGAACATGAGGAGAAGAAGAAGGCGAGATACTCGATGCTAAGTTCAAGTACTGAGTCGGGCAACATGTTTATTTACCACAGAAAGATAAATATAAGACATGAAATATTGGCTGAGGAATTGAGTAAGGTGGATCATGGGAAATGGACAAAGTGTACGACGAATCCAACTGGAAAGATCTACTATTCATGTAGTGAAGTAGAAAATTGTCCAGCAAAGAGACATGTTGAGAAAAGCTCAAAAGACTCAACCAAGGTGATCGTAACTTACAGAGGCCAACACAATCACCCTTAAACAACACATTCCAAACACCCCACTGCTGATTGTAGAAAATGAGGAGAAGAAGAAGAAGAAGGCGAGTTACTTGATGCAAAGTTCAAGTACTGAGTCAGGCAACATGTTTATTTACCATGGAAAGATAAATGAAAGACATGAAATATTGGCTGAGGAATTGAGTAAGGCGGATCATGGGAGATGGAGAAAGTATACGACGAGTCCAACTGGAAAGAGCTACTATTCGTGTACTGAAGTTAAAAATTGTCCAGCAAAGAGACGTGTTGAGAAAAGCTCAAAAGACCCAACCAAGGTGATCGTAACTTACAGAGGCCAACACAATCACCCTCCTCCTTAACAACACATTCCAATGGTACACAGGAGACCTAATGCTGCTGCACCACGGGAAGACCCATCTTCTTACTCTCTACCTCTACTTTGTAATTCAAGCCAGCTTTTTACGAGAGAAATTCTTCTGTGCCGCAGTAAGTCAGTAGATTGTTTCTAACTAGACTACTGCTTCTTGATCTAGTAACTGTTGAAACTGAAATAGGATCTTTTATTTGGAATTTTGAATTTCTAGTGTTATTACTTTCTAATATAGTAATCAAGCTTTTCCCTTGGCATCTCTATCATTTTCAAGAATCACTGGTATTCTTTCTGTTCCTAGAAGCAGCAAGAACTAAACCTAATGATCAGTTAAACAGATATTCAAAACATGCAAAAGCGAGGCAACCTTTTTCTGTTGTTCTATGTTCATCGATTCACAGCTATATGATTTAGGACATCTTTTTCGATAAGTTCATCATATCATTGTTCACCAATGTTATTCTAGTCTATCTTGGATCTACCAACTTAAGAGACAGTGATTTCACAATCCACTGCCAATAAGTTTAATGCCCTTGGCATTATTTAAACAGGAGTCAATTTGTAAGTGTGGGGAACAAGAGCTTCTACAAGCTCTTATAATAGGAAATTTCAATAGTCACAGCTAGGCCTCTGCCATCTTAGCCATTGCTTCTTTTGACACCAGAACTGGCTGTAGACATATACAAAAACCTGAATTTTTGGTTTAAGATTGGCATCCTAACCTGCCATTTAGAGGGATTGTCCAAAATCGGCCCTGATTTATCACAGAACAATACCACATAGAGAGTCACAGACTCTTCAGGAAGCTATCTACCTGTTTGAAGATAATTGTGAATAATAAAAACTTCAAGCAATAGTATAGCATTTGTTTACTAACAGAGTTTCATACCAATGAGTTATATGAAACAACAGAAAGTACAAAACTTCAATTGAGCATATGTAATTTTTCAGTTCAGCATGTTCTGTACAATGAGTGATATTATAGATAGGATAAACATTACTTACATTGAGTATTAAGATAAAGAATCAATAATGAAATTGGTGGTGGACTACCAATTCTCTTTAACGATTTTAGATTTCTCGAGTATGAATTTCCCTTCCTTGTACTTCTGAGTTGGCTCATAAGCTCGTTCATACTTCCAGCCCAAAACCTCATTGCAATCCCCACAGAGTACATCAGCAACAGTATGAAGACCAGTCATGAGAGTTCTGTCTTCTTTAGCCCCAACGACAATATTCATCACATGAGTAAACAGAAAAGCTCTGCCATGCCTTCCCTGAAAAGCAATAGTATTTCTTTTCTTTGGACGAGGCTCAGAAACAAGATGACCACAGATAAAACCTAAACTCAGAAACAAGATGACCACAAATAAAAACTAACTAGTTAAGAATTATCTGATTCTTGAAGTGCAAAAGAGCAATAGCCCTTCCTTGCCCATTGTCAGATCAATGTTTATGCATTTACTAATTCTTGGACTTAAAAATAACAATCATTACATCCCCGTGAGGGATTAAGTCGAGAAGTTGTAAAAAGCATCAATAAGAGTGAGTTGATTCCACTTATTTTTCTTCATTTCTCATTAGGTTTTCCTTGACTACTAGTTAAGCCCATCCTTTACTTTGAGCTCAATACAATAGAGGGATTTAGTTAATAATATTCATCTGAAAGCACTGATCACATACAAATGAAAGGGAACCACAACTGAATAATAAGAGATACACGCAAAGCTTGACCCCAACTAATTCCGTATACAAGCATAATGAATATGCTTTTGAAGCATAGATATAAACAATCACCTGAAATGCCTTAGAGATTATATCATCATGAAGAGAGACATTGTTTCGACATTTATAGCAGCTGTACAAGCGAGGTCCAACTAATTCATCCATTCGACAAAAACTGATCACTTACCCCAGAAACCCAAATGACCAATTCCTACAGAAAACAAAAGATTTAAACCCGAAAAATCAATAAAACTAAACCCTTTACACTATGGAAGCAATAAGCCAAAGCATAACCCAATCGACCTAAAAAAAACAAATTTATTTACCTTAAAAGAGAAAATGCTTACAACCCAGATAGGTTTAACTTGCACGGCATCGATAGAAATTCTTATGAGGGATTTGGTGAAACTACCAATCACGAAACTGAGAAGAAATTTAAGTTGATATGACAAAGACAGGATTACGAAAAACAATTCAATATCAAAATATTTATCAAATAGAGAAAGCTAGGAATTAAAACAATACAATATTACAAGAATCTGAGCTGTAAAAAACAAATTCACAATCATCAATGAAAGAACAAAATCATGTTTGTTAGGAAAAGCAGAAATGGGGGAAAAAGTAAAAGGTTTGTTATTCTTTGCTTGGACTCACCTACCAGCATGAAAATCAGGAACGGATAAAGATGAAACAATTACGTAGCTATTCTTTGCTTGAGCGGATTTTGTTGGAAGATGAGAGCTCACTGTTGTGTACAGCAGTCGATTTCATGGCCACTCTGCCGCCCATTGATTTTGGGCCAAATATATATATGGAATTGATGGACATGCCCACGGTAAAGCCCAATAGTGAGTATGTAATCGCGTAGATCTTATTATTAACTCGAGGAGGTAAAGTAAAACCGTTCAACAATCTCTACGTAGGTTATAATAAAGTATTAAATTATCTATTGAATATATTTTTTGATACATAATTATTTTTTTTTGGAATAAAAATGAGATATAGTACTGATAACATATGTGTTTAGTTTTGTACTAATATATAAACTAAAATAAATTTTATTTTTATATATATGGTGAGCGAGATTGTGAGAGGGAGGAAAAAGGAGTGGAGAGGCAAGCGAGATTGGAAAAGGAGAGGAGAGGCGAGGCGAGCGAGAGAGGGCAGAGAGTGGAGAGAGGCGATTTGTATTTGTATACATGTAAGATAATTGTATATATGTTACTGATATACATATGTATCAATGATTGCATTTGTATATCTGCATAACTGTATGTATATAATTAGTATGTATGTGTATCAATGAATACATAGTATTAATGAAATACAATTTGTATCAGTGAATAAATTGTATACACTTTATCAATTTGTATTTATATATGTATAATTTGTACTTGTATATGTACAAGAGTGGAGAGAGGCGAGAGAGAGAAAGAGAGGTGCAATAATTATAGCTAAAATTAAGCCGCGAATGATAATTAATGAAAATTATAACTATATTAGTTAATTAACTAATATATATTCATTTATCCGCATAATTTTTATATAATAAATATTAGCTACCACTTACCCAAAAATTAATATTTGTACACTTCGCCCGCTACAGAATCTTATGGGTTACCGGAAAATAATGGGTAAGCCAGTCGTATTGAACCGTATCCGATCCCCACTAGAATTAGTTGACTCAAAGGAAAGACACCATCATTATCACCTAAATGTTTCATAAGATTTTACACTATCTTCACGTACTATGATGTGGTGCAGTACGTTACCACCACGTATTACTATTTCCGTAATTAGAGGTATCAGATTCAAGTCTTGGATATGAAAAGTTTTTTATAGGAGCTACGCGGCTCGAATCCAGAATAATCGAAATTATAGAACTTGGGGTAAGAAATTGGCTAGGGCACACATTATATATCATCTTATATTCTAACATTAACAAGTGAAAATCATCTTAATTGCCAAAGAAGATTACCCTGTTTCTTACACATCAACAGCATGATAACATACAAAGGCTAAAAGTAGTGTTTTTAACCCCATTTTCATGAACAGAAATCTTATTAATTTACACTCGATCAAGCAGTACTTGTTACATAAATAAGTGATGAATTTATTAATATTCTTTGAGAATTTTGGCAATCTCGATAATGAAACCTCCTTCTTTGTACTTCTGTGCAGGATCATAAGCTTTAACATACTTCCAACCCAATTCCTGCCCACACTTGCTGCAGAATATATCAGCAACACTGAAGGTACCTGTCATCAGTTTTCTATCTTCCTTTTTCCCCACCACTACATTCATAGCATGCCGAAAAAGGTATGCTCCTCCTGATTTTGCCTAACAAATATCAATTCATAGGTCAATTGAAGTTAAATACAATTTTATAAAGACGATTTGGGCTTATTTTTATCGAAAGCAGCCTATTTTTACATCACACAAGTTACGAGTAAGATCTGCCTACACCCTACCTTACTCAAATCTCAAACCTCACTTGTCAAATTGGACGGAATATATCTTGTTGTACGGATCAATTGAAGTTGAATGCAATTATTGAAAGATGATTTGGTCTTCTTTTTTTTATCGAAAACAATCCCTCCTTTATTCCGATATTCTATCTTCTTAAATTTCACTTGTGAGATTAGAATATCTATATATGTTGTTGTATGGATCAATTGAAGTCAACGGAGGATTACTTAAATAAACAGAGGAAAAAAGTAACAACGTGGAGTGATAAGTACTCTTTCATGCTTAACCGAAAGGTCTTGGGTTCGATTCTCCTTGAGTACGGAATCGCCTTTGTTAGAGAAAATTTTACTCCCAAATATGGACTTCCCGACGCGAAATCCGAATTAAAAAAAAAACAGAGGAAAAAAGTAGTCTTAGTAGTGAAGAAATAAGTGTAATTACCACAAAGCGTTTAGAGAGAAGATCATCTCGAAGAGCGATGGGATTCTGGCAAATTCTGCAGCTAAACAAAGGGTGATTATACGTAGCAGCGTCCGCCATTAATTAATTAACAGTGTGTGTCTGTATATATAAAAGAAAGAGAGGGAGAAGGGATTGAGTCTGATTATATGTAGATGCAATTATATATATAGGAGGAGGAAATTAGGGGATAATTGATTTTGAGATGCCAAATTCATTGTTGTTCGTTTTTCTGGCGTGGAAAAGTAGTAGTAATATACTAGTATTATTACCACCTGCGCAAGGAAGATGAATTTTCTAAGCAATTGCTTTTTGACAATGATGGAGGATAGGATAGGATAAAATAGGGGTGGAAAATACTATCTAGATGGAGACTTTTTTTGTCTTATTGTGGACTAGGTAGACCTCAAATGAGACTTTTGGCTTATTGTTTGTTATTTATAAGTTATAAATTGTACTCTCTCTCTTACTTATGATATCTTCAATCCTAAACTTTATTTTACTCTTCAAATATAGAATTTTTTATTTTTTCAAACAATCAATTTCAATTCAATTCTCTATTTTACTCTCTAAAAACAATTTTTTTTGTCTTTTCTCAATATTATATTATTATTTCTATTGCATTCTTATTTACTTATTTCATAATATAAATTCCTTCTTTCTTTTTCCCAAATAATTACTTTATATAATTTTCATGTAATATAAAATTTATTTTTTCAATTTTTTTATTTAATATAAAATTATATTTTATTTTAAATTTCTAATAATATAAATTGGAAGAAAATATTATATAATATACAAATTAATGAAAAAATTCAAATAAAAGTGAAATACAATTACATAAACACTCAACTTTCAAAATTATTACGTTACTCCCATAAATATTCTATTAATGCATTACGGAGTTCATTTTTGTCCTTAATTTTTTATGTCTAGCTAAAAATTGTTCAAATCGGAGATTTTCATCTACCATCATACCCTAATTTTTTTTTTCGAATAGTGCTAAATTTGACAACGACCGACCGGATTATTAAATTATTATTGTGATAAATTAATTATTATGTTATGTATTGTATTTTAAATTAAATTTTCATCTTATCATTTTAATTTTGTGCATTCTTTATAGTGAAAATCAAAAATAAAATTATATTATATTATTGACGAAAATTAGAAAAAAAATTAAAATATTTTAAATTCGGGATGAAAGTAGCATATATTAAATAATATATTTTTAAAAATATTATATTACATTTAAAAAGAATTATGAATATTAGATATTTAATTAATGACATTATATGTAAAATAATATGTTAATTAGAAAATAATAAAAATAATAATAAAATATTGAAAAGGTGAAATAGAGAGTGTGAATAGTAGTTCTTCAAATTTGGAGAACTACTATTTAACTCTCTAAAAATGAAGAATAGAGTCTAAAATAAAGAGGGGTTGGAGTATTCATTCTCCATTTTACTCTCCAAATATAGAGAATGGAGAGTAAAATAGAGGTGGTTTGGAGATGGTCTTAATAAGTGACATTTTTCATTCTTTGAGAGTTAAATATGTTAAGTTTGATTGATAATTTGCGCACAGAATCTTCAATTATTTTTGAAATGAAATTTATATATTTGTAAACTACGTAAAAGTACTATAAGTCATAATAATTGATAATTCAAAATGTATAAAAGATAGACTTGTTTGAATCTCGAAATCCACAAAGTGTCAAATAAAATGGGACAGAGGGAGTATGAGTTAGGAGTCTTTAATTTATCAAATTAATATAATTTAATTTAATTTTAAAAATTAATCAAATTGATTAGAGATGGCAAATGGAGGGATAGGATGGGGCGGATCAGGTTGAGCTTAACCCGTAAAAATTTTAACCCGCATCGCTCCGCACCGCATGATAACTTTTTTTAATTTTTAACCTGCTCGACCTTGCCCCACATAAACCCGTCTCACATGAATCTGCCCCGCATAAATTTTTTGATTGTTTCTCTTTTTTAATCAAGTTTGAAATTAAAAATAAAATTATTTTCTGATCAAATTGTTTTAATTTAATAAATAATAACTTAAAATTCTATTTTTAGAGCTTAGTTGGAAAGCAGGTAAGAAATTTTATTAGTTTTGATTTAACTATTTTCATTTACAATCTTCAATATTTTAGTGACTTTAAAGAAATTATATATAAATAATGATTTGTCACTCTTATAACATGTAAAAAGTTAAAATTAAGTTTGAAACATAAAACCGCATAGACCCACAACTAGGGGTGTTCGTGGTTTGGTTATTGATTAAAATCAAAACCAAACCAATCTAGTCGGTTTTTTTAAATTTCTAAAACCAAACGAAAAAAATAATTGTCGGTTTGATTATTGTCAATTTGGTACGATTTATTTTAGTTTTTCTGGTTTATTCGGTCTAAAAGTAATAATTTTTTTAGGATGTACCTATCTTGATAGACACAATCACCTAGTACATGAACAATCCACAAAAAAAATAATTATTGATTCAATTAAGCAATACTAGAGTTATCATTACACAAACAAAGTGATTCAATTAAAAGAAAGTGTGACTATTTTATGTGAAGTAAGGTAGGTAAAGACTAAAATGGATTTGGATGAACTTGGACTTAGGATTGTTATAGTCGGGCTAAAGTGTTGGGCTTTGATAGAATAGTAACGTTAAAGACTTAAGTTAATTAAAATTTAACAAAATATTTAAATTTTATTTATGAACAATATATAAAAAATTATAAAATTTATATATCTAATTTATAAGTTCGATTTGGTTATTCTTGCGGTTGTTTTTTTAGTAAAACCAAAACCAAACCAAATAGTATTAGTTTTCAAAATTTAAAACCAAACCAAATACTATCGATTTTCAAAATTGAAAACAAAACCTAACCAAATCAAATTGATTTTTTTAATCAATTAGGTTCGAATTGCGATTCGATTTGATTTTTTAACCGTAACCATGAACAACCCTACGTCCCTACCCGCAACCCATCCCACACCACATTAATTTTTAAAAAACCCATTTCAAGTCATCCCACACAACTTTAAAATTGCCCTGCCCCATAAAGCCTTAGAACAGCCCCGTAGCTTGTCCCATTACTGTATCGAAAATTGACTTTCGAAAAATACTAACTAAAAAGGACGGTAAAAAAAGATATGATAAAAAGAGAAGTAAATTTTCGTTTCGTACTTTGGTTCCTCAGAAGTACATTAGAAGGAAAAAAAACACAGAGAAGATCGTTGACGGATTTATAACTACTGTAAAATCGGGGTATAACTCCGATCTTAGAGCAGCAAATCGAGGTGTTTTGGGTCATTAATTCCTTTTTATTCTCCATCGAAATGGCAGATGCTTACTGGAGAGTCACCGACGGCCGGATACATCCCGTTTCTCTTCCTCCGGTCCCCTCAAAACGCCCGAGGACCGAAAATGGTACCTTTCATCTACTTCCCTTCGCTCTTTCAAGTGATTAATTTTTGCTAATTTGGGTCACATCGTTGTTCTTTCCCTGAATTGGCAAAAGCTAGGTTTTTTTTAAAGGGATATGTTCATAAATTGATCTGGTGTTACAAAATTAAAGTAGTAGGTGATTCGTAAGATTAAAGTGAGTAAAAAAAAGGATTTATTGGTGTGATGATTTTACCCCAATGCTCAAGGTAAATTTCCCTTTCTATAATCCAGTCGGAAAAGTATTTATTGTGCTAGCAATTGAAAATAAATATTTTTTTAAGGACTTCATTCATAGAAGTAAGAGGAACAAGTTAAAGAGGTAATTTTTTGTATCGGTTGGCCTAAATTCGATGATCAACTGAAACTTTACCTTGGTTGCTGGGAGCTTTTTGTTTCCTCAGATAGAAATGGTTATATACACGCAATGTGGTTAATCTCAGCAGTAAAAAATGGCGAAGGAGAAGGCGAAGGGGAAATGGGGAGGGGATTACAAGGTGGGAAATCGAACACTAACCAATGGGGTGGAAGTTTAGGTAGCTAATCAATTGAGCTACTAAGATCCCCTGATCTCAGCAGTTGATTAAACCTTGGACATTTTTTTCTTAATTATTAAGAGGAAAGTGGACAAGTCTTCTCCAAGTAGTTGGCTTGGTTTTCATTCTGTTCTCTCCTGTTGCTGACTTGATTCTGACAATGTTTGAACATCATGTTGCCTAGTTTAGGTTACCACTTTCTTGTTTGTTTGTACGCGTGTTCCTAGTAGCTTGTTTATCTATGAGTGTGCTTATTGGAGTTATTGCTAATTCTTCTCTATTGGGAAGTAATACCATCATTTGATGTTGTCACCTCATAGATGTTCCAAGTGGTCCTGAGATGCCTGGCAGTCATAGCCACAATGATGTACAAGGAATGCATCATGCCATTAGGGAAACAGATCCTATTGAAACATCCTATGAACAATACTTGCGAAGCGGGGTACTTAATTTTTGGTTCGTTTGTGTGTGGTTAATTTTCATATCCTTTTATGCTCAGTTCCTTGACAATGTATGAGTCTAACATATAGTTCAAAATTTATCAGCAAACTTCTTCGTATGCTGGTGGTGACTCTGCAAGATCCATGAGTAATGGAGTAGGCAGTCTTTCTATTGACGGTCCACGTGTTATGGGTTCTGTGGGATCAGAACCAGTTGCTGCTAGAAGCAGGACCATTGAGTTTGGAGGTGTTAGACCAGAAGTTCCTCTTCCACCTGAGGCTAGCAGTACATTGTTTGTGGAGGGGTTGCCTGCTAATTGCACCCGAAGAGAGGTGTCACGTATCCTTCTATACTGCTTCTCCCATTTCACTATTTTAGTTACCTTTCTAGTTCTTTCTTTGACTCCAGTTTGCAGATATATTTCGACCATTCGTAGGCTTCAAAGAAGTTAGACTGGTGATCAAAGAATCACGACATGTAAGAATACACCTATAGATTTATTTCTAGTCGTAGTTCTATTATGATGTTTTCTTAGGAATTCTCTGTTCCATCAACTTATGTAGCCAGGAGGGCATCCATTTGTTCTTTGCTTTGTTGATTTTATGAGTCCAGCCCATGCAGCCACTGCGATGGATACTTTACAAGGTGAGATTTCTGCACCCGCCATCAGTAAAATTAATCTTGTGACTTATCTGGTTTTAGGCTTGTAGTATAGTCAGTCTTCTATCAGAGCTTACTTATCGATGAGATACAACCAAAGTTCGGA